TGCGAGCTCTGAGCAGCAGGGCTGCCAGTTCGGATCCCACATGGACCAGTGATGCTGCGGCCTCTACAGCTAAGATGGTGAACAACAGCTCAGTCTGGAGCTGGGCTGCAATGAGTCGCCAGCGACGTAGGCTGCAGTGGGCTGCCATAAGCTACCATGAGTGGCGGGCAGCCAGTGTGAACGGCAGTGAGCCACCATGAGTGGCCGTCCAATGGCTGGCGACCGACTGCCTCAGCTGGGTAGAGTGCAATGATAATACCAACACGGGCCAGTGAAGCGATGTCCTCCACAACCAGACTGAAGAACAAAAGGACAGCAACTTGTCTGTTCCCTTCCCCAATTCCCCAATGCTGTTCCCTCCCCCAATTCCCCAATAAAATCTGTTTTTAAAAAAATGTTTCCACTTAAATATAACTGTCTTTTGGTTTAAAACAATTTCTTCTTGGTAATGATTCAGACATTGTAAAAATTAAACGCTTCCCCAGCATCACCTCTGGGTACAGGCACAGGAACTTGTTGTAAATAGAAAAGGCATTATGAAACAGCAAACTAGTCAATGGTGATTACTTCCCATATAAGAAAAATAAGATTAGATAGATCCTTGCCTCATACCACACACAAAATCAATCTAAATATGAAAACAAAACTTGTAAACTAGTAGAAGAAAATACAGAGGAATATTTCATGACCTTCAGTAGGGACAAAAGAAAAATAATTAGTATAAATAAAAGAAACAAAGAGTTAAGTGATCTTTATTTGTAAATGAGAATGAAATGCTCTGGCTAGACAACATACTTGAGTTAATAAGAAACTTTAGTGATATGACTAGATACAAAACAGTCAAAAATCATTTGCTTTTCTCTATATTAGTAGGAATCAGAAAAAAAGAAAACATACAGTAGCAACTAAATTACATTTAGGAACAAATTAATAAAGGATATATATATATGATATTCTGAAACAAACATGATATCAACATTATGTAAATTGGTAAATATATATTTTCTACACTTTTTAATTAAAATTTTAAAATTAGAGTATGTCATATTAATGATTATTCTCTTGTTATATTATACATGAGTCTTCTTTTTCCAAGTTTATCATTGGCTGACTTTACAATAATTATAAGAAATTAATGTGGTTGTAGTGCATAGGTTTGAATCTTTTTTGTTGTTATTGCTTTATTTTGTTTCTTTACTTTTTGGTAACTAATAAGTACATGAATATTATGAAATTATCTAAGATATTCATTTTGGAGTGCAGGGCTGGGACAAATATCTCTGCAAACCACTCCAAGAGTTGAGAGATGCAATTCTGGATCTTTTGGGGGAGTTGTTCTTCACTGGGGCAGGTAGAAACATGTAAATAGCTGGTATTTGTATGGTGAGTTATCTATTTTGCAATATAGAAAATAAGGCGTGGTACCAGCCAGTAACACAGGCAGTAACTTTGCATTCACAAGGAGAGTTTAGTGGCATACAAAGAGGAAGTTAGGGGTAAACAAAGGTCTGCTTTTAATTCCTAGTACGGGAAACAAGACTCTAACTTTTCATTTAGTTCTTCATTTGAGCAAATATTTAATCATATCAACAGCCTGCTTGTATTTAATAGGTATTATTGGGGAGATATAAAAGGATTTTACAACAGTCCCACCTTTAAAAAAAAAATCATGCTCTTGTTGGGGTTTGACAACTAAGAAAAAATAAAAGTGGAATGAAGTAGGGACCCTAGCCTTCAGATTTTTCTCACTGACACATTGGCTGAGGGCTCTCTGATCAAGGAAGCTGACTTCTTTTGACTTAAATTGGGTTGCATGAAGATGATATGTAATTTATAGTACGTTAAACCAGCAAGTCTAGTTTTTCACCAGTTCAATACTGTGCTATAGGTCCTGTTTAACTTGGCAAGGAATTTCCTAGCCTTTGTGATGATAATAAAATGTTCAATAAGAAAACTCACAGGAAGAGATTTTTGTTCCAGAATTTACAAGTCAAATTTAGAAAATATCTACTTCAGACAAGCAAATCTGTATACACACCCATGTAAAAGAAGTTAAATAAAAAATTTAGATCCTGATATTTCACTCGATATAAATGTGTACATTTAATCAATCCTATAGAATATTCAAATACTTTTCAGTCTTTTGTATTTGTTTTAAGCTACTATAAGGCCACAATCTTTTATCTGAATTCTGAAACATGAAAAGCTCTGACCTGACATGAACTCATTTGGCAATAAATCTATGAAGCTATTAATCTATTTATAACCTTTACATCTGACTTTATGTGAATGTTTCCTGCAAAATTATTAATGTTTGATGGTGCGATATTGCCCCAGTTCCCCACATATACATTATCTTTTTCAAATCTGAGAAATGCTGAATTCTGAAACACACGAGGTCTGATAATTAAGTTTGCGAACTTGTTGCAATGATGTTGCTAACCATTTTGACATCAGAGGGATTATTCATTATGAATTCGTACCAACTGGACAAACAGTTAACCAAGTTTACTATTTGGAAGTGCTGAAAGGCTGTGTGAAAAACTTAAACAACCTGAACTTTTCGCCAACAATTCATGGCTCTTGCATCATGACAATGCACCAGCTCACACGGCACTGTCTGTGAGGGAGTTTTTAGCCAGTAAACAAATAACTGTATTGGAACACCCTCCCTACTCACCTGATCTGGCCCCTAATGGTTTCTTTATTTACCTGAAAATAAAGGAATTATTAAAAGGAAGACATTTTGATGACATTCAGGACATCAAGGGTAATACGATGACAGCTCTGATGGCCAGTCCAGATAGAGTTCCAAAATTACTTTGAAGGGTGGAGTAGGCGCTGGCACTGATACATAGCTTCCCAAGGGGACTACTTTGAAGGTGACCGTAGTGATATTCAGCAATGACGTATGTACGTAGCACTTTTTCTTGGATGAGTTTGCGAACTTAATTGTATTACCCTGTATGCTCCTAGGGTTTTGAATAAGAGATTATAGATGTGTATAGACTGCAACAAATGTCTTGATAGTTTTGTTAGGATAAATTTATATCATGTACAATATATATTTAAGTCAGACTTGCTGGGTTTGAATCCTAGTTGTCATTCACTTGCTATACCTATACTTAAATTTTTTCAACAATAAAATGGAAATGATAACAGTTGTAGTTATCCTGAGAATTAAGTGAGGTAATACATGCAAAACACTTAGAATAATGTCTGGTAATTAGTAAGCATTTAATACATGTCCGCTAAAATTATAACAGTACGGGAAACAAGAGTGTACCAATTTATATTTCCGACAATAGTGCATTTATTTTTCTATGCTCTTGCCTATTAGCATTCTCTATAATATTGTCTTATGTGAGAGTCCCCTCCAAACATATCCCATTGATTTGTTTGCATTTCTTTTATTTCTAGTGATGTTGAAATATTTTCATACTTTTAGTATTTTATTCTCAATGATTTTCTTGTGCATATTTTTAAAAAGATCTTCCCTATTAGAATATTAAATATTTACATTTACCTATATTTTCCTAGTACTTGCAAATTTCTTTCCTTCTCTCCCTCTCTTTTCCCTTCCTTCCTTCCTTTTCTCCTTCCTTCTTTCCCTTTCATTTTCTTTCTTTCCTATTCTTCCTTTCCTCTCCTTCCTTCCTTCCTTCCTTCCTTCCTTCCTTCCTTCCTTCCTTCCTTCCTTCAAGAGTTCTTTGTCTTTTTCTAGACATCATATGTTATTCTTTTGATGACCTATACCATATTGTTTAAACTTTCTGGTAAATCAAATAAACAATATTTTTCCCAAAATTTTTAGATACTGATACAAACTATTTATTAGCAGTTTTCAACAAACCTACATTGGGATTGATTGGGCTTAACTTGGAGAAAATGTATACATGTATATTTCACTCTAAAAAAAACTTTCTTAATACATTTTTAAGGCTTGTTATTACTAAATTTTAAAAGCAGGGTAAATCAATAGTAAAAAATAAAAATAATTTCTATAAATAGTTCCTTCCAAATGTGTCTTTTGTTGGCAGACTAATAATAATTCATAACAAAAATAAATTGTATAACATTTTACATTTTTTCAAAATACTTTTCAAAGAGGACCCTAAATTAGCTATAATAAGTTAAATAAACATACAATTTGAAATTTAAAAATAGAAAAGTCTGACACATTGTATTTCTACTGTTTAAAGACTATTTTATGTATAGAGAGTAAATAATTTCATACAATATTGTAAAACATTCTGTAGATAAAACTTTCTCAAACAGAAATTTAATCCAAAATGTTACCATGAGTGGGTGGAGGAGGGATTAAATACATTAGAATATGCTGAAAGACCTCAGTTTTTCCTGAAAATAAAATTCAGTAAAATCAAGAAAATATTAAATATTATAGATATAAGCTTCAGCTGTTAAACTCAGAAAATTCTCTAAGACCTAAATAAGATATTTTCTTTTCTAGTAACAGCATAAGTAATCTTCAGATTTACTTTTAAGACTAGTCTTATTAAAATATAAATATCATAAGAATTTAATAAATGTTTCAATAATATATTTTTCTATTAGATACACATATATACATACAAATATTTAGGAAGAATCCATATCATCTTCTGGTTATAGATAACAAAATATCTGATAAGGTCATAGTCTTTTGTTTAACCTTATATAGAAATAAATTGAAAATAGTTAAGACATAAATTTTTAATCATTTTGGTATATAATTAGGTCAGATTTTATTTTCAGTAGTTTTTCTTAATTTCATATTAGGAAGATTAATTATGAGGAACATTAAGTAATTTAAAGTTAATACTTGATACCTAAGAGTCTAGTTAGAATATATATGGCATATATATGTACTTATAAAAATAAATAAACAATAATAGATATTTTGTTTCTTAAATGAGGTAGATAAAGTAATATATTCTGGAACATGATCTGAACATTAAAAAAAAAAAAGAAAATAGCAACACAAGTTCAACCTGTATGAATCAGATAGCTGGAGAGTTCTTTTTATTTTTTTTAACATATATACCATATATTTTAAGTACAAGGCCTCTGCAATACATTTCTACTTTCCAAAATCTTGCTAAATTTAAATTCAAAATTTTCACTTACTTAATCATTATTTAATCTACCTAGGGAAATTTCTATTCAGACCAAAGACATTTGCAATTAAACCAAAGATTACTAGTTTTTCACTTTTTTATATTTAAGTGGTATTTTCCCTTTACATACCTCATATAGTAAAATACATCAGGAAAAGCTATTACTCTTCAGATGTACAATAGGTAATTACTTAGATGACACAGAGTTAATAAAAATTTCAAGGTCTGCTAAAGAATTATGAAGCCCATCATTCATATCTTGACTTCTAAGATAATTTTTAAGAGTATCTAAAGCAGTTATTGCCTCAGTTTTTGATGGTAAAGGGAGTTCAGTTCCCAGAGATCCCCCATCATCCTCTTCGTCAGAAGTATAAAATCCACTTTCCTCTGATTTATTTTCTTTGGTCGACTCCGTATCACCATTTGGTGCCACTTCACAGGTCTCCAAATCATCGTCCAGGGCAGCATACTCTTCTATGGATAAACCTTCAGGAAATTCCACTCCTGCTGCTTGGGCGTGAGCAACCAAATCAAGACTTGTGTCCATCTCTGCATTTGTCTTGTTACTTTCTCCCTGCTGAGATTTAAATCCTGCCTCTTCATAGCTCTTAACGATAGTCTCTGGGGATACAGCCCTCCAACAGAGGTGCAATGTATCAACAGCATCTAGTAGAGAAAATGTAAATTCTTTGCTGCCTTCAACAGAACTTAAAAATTTCTTTATAAGACAATGTCGATATTTGATTTTAAGGCTTTTAATAACACCTTGTTTCATAGCTATAAATTTGGAAGATAAACATGATGGGAAAAATGCTAACTCAATGGACTTGAGGTTCTTAACCTCTGGATGTGCAGGGAAAGAGTCAACAAAAATCACCACTCTTCGTTGCTGGACTTGAAATTTCTCATCAAGCTTCCTCATCCATTGTTCAAATATATCTGAGGTCATCCATGCCATTCTGTTAGCTTCATAATACACAGGCAATGATTTTATCCCTTTGAAACAGTGCGGATTTCTGTTTTTTCCAATGATAAGTAAAGGAAGTTTCTCTGAGCCATCCATGTTCGTCCCAACCACCAGAGTTATTCTGTCTTTGCATAACTTCCCAATTGAGCATGTTTCTCCCTTAAATGCGAATGTATTCGTAGGTAACATTCGATAAAGCAGCCCCGTCTCTTTTATATTAAAAACATTTTTAGGATGATAATCATTTAAATAATAAGGAAGTACATTTTGGTGCCAGACAGTGGAAGGGTCTGCTGATATACCTGTAGCTTCTACAGGTTGAGCTCTGAATACTAAGCCATACCTGGATTTAAAGCGATCCAGCCAACCATTACTGCACTTAAAATCATTATGTCCCAGTTTCTGAGCAAAATCATTAGCTTTCAAACGCAGCATTGGACCATTAACTGGTACGTTTAGACACTGAGCAATTCGATACCACCTCATCAATGCCTCTTCCAGGTCTGTGTAAAAAGCAGTTCTCAGTCTTTTTCTCTTTGGATCAAATCTCAGAGACTCAAAGGCTTCTAGAACTTTGTCTTTATTCTTCATAATAGAAGACAATGAATTTTTCTTTATGCCATATTCAGCTGCAATCTCTGCTTTTTTCTTGCCACTTTCTACGGCGTTTATGATGTCTATCTTTTCTTCAATGGATAGACTTTTCTTTTTCTTCACTGTTACGGGCAGAGCGGAAGCATCCCCAGTAGCTTCTGCCATCTCAACCAGTGCTTATACAGAGATTTCTCCTCTTCCTGTTGTCTATTTCATTAATTAAATTCCTTTTCCAGTAAAACATAAATTGCTGCTTTATATCCCACTTTATATGTTAAAAGTTGGTACGTGTCTAATTGTCTTATTCCTCAGGAAATTAATGACTAAATAGATTTTTTTCAAAGGCTCTGAATAAGAAAAATGTTACATGCAGCTAGAATAGTTTAGAGGAGAGGCTTCCTTCCCAGGACCGTGTGTAGCTCAGTTTATAGTTTATTCAGAGTTCCAGAAGTCAAGCTAAAATAGAAATCTCATTTTGTCAAACCTGTCCAGTCCTGCTGATATATTTTTGGAATGTCAATCCTTTAAGACGATCCATTTTATCCATTCGTGCATTCAACTTCCTATTAATGCTCCACAGAAGGCCTCAGAGATAAGAAGAGAAAGCATTCAGAAATTTTCATGCAAAATGTTACCCATTAATATCCAAGTCTCTTCAGGGTAGGAAGAAAATCGTAGAATTCTTCTAGGGCTTGACAGTGTATCTTCTGTCTCTTGAAAACGTAAAACAACAACAACAACAAACAAACAGCATTTTTAGCAATGATATGTCAATTGAATATCAAAGAGAATATTTATATTAATTAGTTATGCTTTTAATATTTAAAAAATGGGAACACGTTTCTGAAAGTACAGTAACCAAAGCAGGAGAAATGCTTACCCACTAAAGAGCCTCTGCAAAAAGCTCCCTAGCTCTTCTCTGTGCATTTGAATTCTCACTTGCCTTTGAATGTTTTGTAATATATACTTCCAAAATAAACCAGACAAATTTAAACTGTTTTGAAAATGTGAGCTTACCAAAATTAAAGAACTAAAAATGGTGCTGGATAGATCTTTGATGGCTATTTTTTACATGAAGTCACAGACTGCCCCCTCTGACTTCTCTAAAAGAAAAACATAGTCAGACAGTAGTCACAAGGTTCAACTTTTAATAGTACATGGGAGACAGTGCCTCCTTTAGAGGAGTCTGGTAGGAAATGCTTCACTAAAAAAATCAAATCAAGTGATTTCATTACATAGCTTAAAAATCTAAATCTTATTCATCTAAAAGCTTAAAAACCTAATAACTTTTGTATCAATTTTACACATTAGCTAGATACACAGAGGCCTGAAATAGCTGACAAAATGCATAGGAGTAAACAAATTATTAAGAGGATATAATGCGGAAAAGACCTAGACTAAAAGTAAGGAGAGTGACAGTGACCATGGGCTTATAGTGTGAGGATATGGGGTTTTGGTGCCAAACACACCTGAATTGATAAGTGACTCTGCCACTTAGTACTTATGTGATCCTGAGTACTTTGCTCAATCATTTGATCTAAGCTTCCTTATTTGCAAAATAGGAGTTAATTATAGCACCTATCTCATAGGGTTATTTGCACATTCAATGGGATTCAATGAGAGTCTGTAAAGCAGTTAGCAGAGTATTTAGCACCATACAAGGTGTTCAATAAATGTTTGGTGATGAGCTCATCATTTTCTTCTCTCTAATGTCCCTTTGGCTGTGTAAATTTATAAATTCACATATTTACAATATATAGATCAGAGCTTCTTAAACCAAACCATACTATGAGAACAGTCACAGGGCCCAGATGGGCTTGCTCCTACCTTCCCAGGTAGCGTTTCCCCTACCTATAGGCTTTAGGCCTTAGGCCTACAGAAGGCCAGGGTAATAAGCTAACTTGATGAGCGGGTGTTACTGCTGTGTGAAATCCTACTAGTTTTTCTCTCTGTCCTCCCAAGTTCGAAGATGACATATGCATTTTTTTTTGCACAAATATTTTGAAGAAACTTCTCGTCAAAATTCCTCTGCCTTGTTGTCCAAATCAAAGAAGTAATTTTTATCATAGAAATTACAACCAGTAAATGAGTTTGTTCTTGTTACTGCAAAATGGACTCAATAATAATTATGATAGCCTAGGCTTTAGTTTCCAAACTGCTTTACTTCCTATATTCCAAACAACTCAGGAGGAAGGTGAAAACAGATTTCAAAGCTCATATAGTTATAACGTAGAAGAGTGAAGTCCAGAATCCAGGCTTTCTAATATCAAGTTTACCATTCTTTTCACTTATTATGGTGTCTTTGAATCACACTGGTGTGGACTCTTCTAATAACAGTTACACATTCTATGCCCCTAGCACCAAGCCAAGTCAGCATTTTTTATTTTGATGCCTATCCAAACCTAACCAAAGGGGAAAAAAAGGGCAATATCAGGCCTCCATAGAAGAATAGGCCATTATGAATTCTTTGAACACAAATAACAACCTACAGAAGGTTGATTTTTTAAAAGTAAATAATATTTGACCATTCAACTAAAAAATATAAATCATGTTCATAGATGGGACCTCCTATACCTTTTTCTTCAATTTCTTATAAATCTACAATTATTTCAAAGTAAAAATTTTGAAGTATCTTGTCCTTATTAGGAAGACACCAATCCAGAAATTGAGGTAGTAAGAACCAATTTTTAAGAAAAGATAAAACCAAGCAAAAGTACTCTTTAATCTCCCAACTTCTCTCTCCCATCTTTCTTTTGTTCTTTCCTCCTTTCTTCTTTTATTCTTCCTTCCTTCCTTTTTCCTTCTGTCTTATTTCATTTGTCAGAAAGAAACCCTATCATCTCAAATAACAAGGATTACAGAAAAAATAACTTGAATTTCCTCCTTTACCCCATCCCAAATAAAGCAATGTAACATACATAATCAGAGATTACTGGTTATCTTGGTCAAATTGAAAATGGTGATGTTTATTTAGGAAAATATTAGTTTTTTTCTGATAGTTAATGGTATATATTTCCTTCTAAAACAGTAGTCAAAGCTATAATTTTCCATGGTAAGATACAATATATCTTCATTCCTGAAATGATCACATTTTTAATGCCAAATCAGACAAGCTAGACTTTTCCCCTAGAAAAGCATAAGACACTTTCTGCCTAAACAATGAAGCTGACACTTTCTATTCTCCCACAGTATAACATCTGGGGTATTTTTTTTGCAGGAAGTATGACAGCAGCTAATATTTCTCAGAAGTACACATTCTCTCAATTAAGCTCATTAGTCATTGTACCCCTTGAAAATATTATGTTAGAGAAATGTTGTACTATATGTTCGGGACTATTTTCTCTACGTGAACAGTAAAGCTAACTAAAGAATAGGCATTCACTAAAAAAGACTTACCAACCGAACCCCAAATTAAGAAAACAATGGTCAACTCTACTGGTAATAAGAGCAATGCAAATCTTCTTTCAAAATAGGAGATACCTTTTTGTTTTTGTTTTTGCCTATTAGAATGGTAGTATCGAGTGTTTACCAGGATGCAGTAACATAGGTCATTACGATGCACATAAATTGGTACAAAGCTTATGGAGGGCAAATCAGCAATATGATATAAAAACTTTAAAAATGTGCATAACTTTTATCCAGCAGTTCCATACCTGGGATAGTATCCCAAAAGAATAATTATAGATGTAAAAAAATCTAGCTTACAAATGTATTCATTTTCTATTGCTACAGAAGAAATCATCACACGTTTAGTGGCTTAAAACAATAGCCATTTATTGTCTCACAGTTCTGTAGGTCAGAAATCCAGGTGGCTCAACTGGGTCCTCGGCTTAGGGTCTCACAAGGCAGAAATCAAGATGTCACTCAGGCAGGGCTCTTATCTGGAGGCTCTGGGGAAGAATTGGCTTCCAAGATCATTCAGGTTATTTGCAGACTTTAGCTCCTTGCGGCTGGAGGACTAAGGTTCATGGTTTTTTCCTATGTCCAGTGCTGGCCTGTGGCCCTCTTCATTTCAGCAACAGAGAACCTTCCTTATGTCAAACTCTCTCATGCTTCCAATCTCTCTGATTTCCTCTGCTGCCACCAACAGGAGAAAACTCTCTGCTCTTAAAATGCCTATGAAATCAGTTCAGGCTCACCCAGATTATCTCCCTTTTGATGAACTCAAAGTCAACTGATTAGTAACCTTAATTACATCTACAAAATTCCTTTTGCATGCAATATAATATAATCAAGAGAATGATATTCTATTATGTTCACAGAGGAGGGAATTATACACGGTGAGGGTCATTGGAAGTCATCTTAGACTCTACAATATCAGAATATTCCTCATATTGTTGTTTTATAATTATAGACAAAACTGGAAATAACCTAAATGTGTAACCAAAAGTCTTAGGTAAATAAATTCAGGAAAATCTATATGCCGAAATACTATTGAGCCACTACAGGAGAATATTCAGTGAGATGAGGAAAATTCCATAATATAGTAAGTAAAAAAGCAAAATACAAAACTGTATGCCAACAAATACAACATACACTGAAAGTTACAAAAGGCCAGAGGCTCATGGCTGTTCCTACAGTGCTTACTGCTCAGCAAATAGAAAGTTCTCAATAACAATTTGTTAAATAAAGGAAGAAAAATATATATACATAGGAAAAAGACATTAACCAAAATGTTGAACATTAAGGCTAGGTAATGCAATTATGAATAAGTTCAGTTTTTTTCTCTTTGTAGTTAAAACAATTTCTACTCTTATGTTCTACTCATTCTACTATTCATGGGCTGTTTTTGAGTGTTCCATTAATCAGTATCCTCTAATAAAGGGTTTGTTTCCAGAGAATTACACTGTGCAAACAAATATCTCTCCTTAAAAAGGGAGATGTTGATAAAGAGTGATGAAATGATTGCGACATTTCCAGAATTCCCCCAGAAAAGCTCTAAAGGTAGCACCTTCTCTTTTTCTTGAGGAAGTAATATTGATAAACAGGATACAATATTCAACATCTAAAGCAAAGCTAAAAGGTCGCATGCACATTTGCTTCATTCAGAAAGGAATATTAACAATATCCTTGAATCTGTTGCCTCCTTTCCTTCCTGGTCAATAAATGAAAGGTAGGCTGCTAGAGTTCCCCCATAAGCCAAATGAATAAATGGTACCTGATTTTTTGAAAGCTGAATAATAGCCAATAACAATGCAAAGATAAATGAGTAGAAAATCCCTGTCATAAGCATATATGGCAGGCAGCTATTCTCTTTTTCTTACCTCTCCAAACATAATTGCCAACTGGGAGAAAAGTAGTTATTGTCTATTCTTCCTAAAGAGAATGGCAGGCAGAATTCCCTAAGCTCTAGGGAAAGAGAGGAAAAAAGGAAAGGAAGGAAGGAAAGGGGAGGGAGGGAGAGAAAGAGGGAGAGGGAGAAGAGAAGGAGGGATGGAGGAAAAGGGTAAGGAAGAAAGAAAGGAAGAAAGGAAGATAGAAAAAAAGAAGGAAGGAAGGAAGGGATGAAGGAAAGAAGGAAGGGAGAAAGAGGGAGCAGAGGGGAAGTCTCTGCTTAGCAGGGTTATATTTAAATAAGATCTTTTAGTTAGAATGAAAAATTTTCCCCAAATCCACAGAGTACCTGTGACTGCTTCATTTTCCCCTAAGAAAGTGCTAGAATTTCACTGTTTTCTATCACTAGCTGAAGTAGCTTCCGGTGTTTCCTCTGAACCAACCAACATTCTAATTTCCTTGGGGCAGCAGAAATCATGGGAAGATGAACCCCATGTATAGCTTTGCACAGCATACACTGTGTATGAGGACTAATCATGCACAGTACCAGAATCACACTAGACTAAAAGGTACCTAACATGATTAATAGCACCTTCATCAAGCAGAAGTTAGCATTACTTCCTAGTGGTTCCAAGTCCATGAGCATCTCTATCAAAAACATCAGCAGCTTCCAAGGAAACCATCTAGCTAACAACTAAAGCAAGTGTCCACTTAATATAAGAAACATTTCTCAGTATAACAGACTAACAGACTAACTGTAGTGAAGCTATGCATCCCCAAACTCAGGACAGCTAGCAGGAATCCTCAAAGAACCAGCCAGCTCAAACAGTTCAGTACACATCATTCAAGCACCACTGAGCACTGCCACACACCTCCTCCTACTCACCCTTTTGAAACCCTAAGCATAACACTGTACTTAGCTACTGAATTCCATTCTGTTCCTACCCAATAAGAGCAGTAATTATCCTAATAGGGATCCTTTTCTTATAATTGAGACGACTAACAGGATGGCTTTGAACAGAAAAGCCCACAATGGGCCAGCAGAGTGGTGTGATGGTTAAGAGCTGGTTTGGGACGCCAGAGGGCCCCGGTTCGGATCCCACATATGAGGGTCAGTGACACTGCCCTCTACAGCTAAGATGCTGAACAACAGCTCAACCTGGAGCTGGGCTGCCGTGAGTCGCTGGCGATGGTGTAGGCTGCAGCCCCTGTGGCAGTGGGTTGCCATGGGCTACCGTATGTAGCCAGCAGCCAGCGTGAGCGGCCAGCAGCCTCAGTGAGTGGCCGTCCAGAAGACAGCGACTGACCTGCCACGCCCAGAAAGAGCGCAATGATGGTGCCAACTTGGACCAGTGAAGCAACGTCCTCCACAACTAGACTGAACAAAAAGGACAGCAACTTGTCTGTTCCCCTTCCCCCAATTCCCCAGCGCTGTTCCCATCCCCCCAATTCCCCAATTAAAAAAAATCTTAAAAAAAAAAAAAGAAAAGCCCACAATAAGTTATGGAACTGAGGTTACTGTTTGAGTGAATTGGCATATATATTTGCTCTTTTAAGGATACAGCCATTGAAGATAAGGGCCCTTTATACACAAGTTTATGTTTGGGATTTCAGTACTGTTTTTGTCAGAGGAGGTGTCCTGGAGATCTCAGACAACAAATATTGTTATTTCACTTTTGAAACATTTGTGGTGTCATGAGTATTCATTGTTCACAGATATGGGGAAGATATCTTTTCAGGGATATACTGATCACTGGGCTGAAACTCCCTAGAAATTTGTAGAGGCAGTGTTCTACCTTTGGGCCCTTAGTTATTAAAAGTGGCTTGTCAACTATTGTGACAGGTAAAGGCAGGCGACAAGTAAGGTCTAAAGAAGGGTAATCCCCATGGAGGGCACTGTTAGCCTTCACATTTCTACAAGTGAAACGGCGGCAAAAATGAGCATCCACAGCTGTCAAAGGAAAAGCAGTCCAGAGCCTTGAAGGGAGATGTGTGTGGATGGATTAACTGTATGTAAATGCGTTTCAGGTACGCCTGGCACCACTGCGGAGCCATACATTCCCTCCATTCAGTGCCGGGGCTAAGGAGAGTATCTGAAGTACAGCCTGGGGCCTCAATTTAGGAAGCTACAAAGGGCCCTGAGAGAACGGATTGGTTCAGCGGTTTCTGTAGACAGAGCAGCCATCTATTTAAAAGTAACAGGGCGAGCAAGAAAGCAGAAATCGAGCGTCTGGATAAAGAAAGAAGAGCAGGAAAGAAAAGTATCGGGGGTCCACTATCAGCGAGCGAGCAGAGCCGAAAGTGATCACAAAGATAGAACAAGTAACAAGAACTCAGGGATGCCAGGGGCGGGGGTCTGGTCTTCCCGAAGGGGGTGAGCATCAGTGACGTCGCCGAGGGGAGGCTCTTTAGGCACTGAAGAAGCGAGGGAAGGTGCCTGCATCCCATCTGCTCTGTTAACTCCGCCTTCCCTGCACCCTCCCACCCCCCCGCAGGGAATAACCTCCGTACGATCCCGCAGCTGAGAAAGAAGCTTTAGCTCTCTGGTGACATGCGTGGCGGTGAGCTGCGTCCACCTCCACCCTCCCGCCACCGGCTCACCGTCTGGGGGACGCCTAACGCGTGAGGCTGGGGTGTGTAGGTGAGAAAGAAGGGATGCTGAGGGCTCCTGGAGACCTCCGACCACTCAAGATCAGGCCCGCGCGCCCTTCCGCAAGCTCCCAGCTCCGGCAGATATATCAGAGCCCCGGCACACACTCCTCTAAGATTCCGCGGCGGCTAAAAAATTACCCGGGCAACCGCACGGGTGGAGGCCCGGATGTGGTTGCTAGGGCCGCAGCGGAGGGGCGGGGCCGGCCTCCCGGAGAGGGGCGGAGGGGGCCTTGTGGGAGGAGCGCTGGCACCATAGAGACGTGGCCGGGCCGGGCGAGATTGAGGGAGAGAGAGGCCGTCCAGGGCCATGGACAGCGCTACTTCCGGCCTCCTCACTTCCGGCTCCGCTCCCCTCGGTGCTGGTGTCGTAGGCCGGGTTGGGAGACTGCCGGTCTGTGTCCTCAGCGGTTGGTCAGTGTGAGGCTGTGACAGCTGCAGTTGCTCCCCGCCCCGGAGGAGCCGAGGTGCGTGGGGGGAGGGGAAGGAGGCAAAGTCCCCGGTCGCGTTTCCGCTCACTTCTCAGGGTTGAGACGATTCCAGAGAGCTGTGGCAAAGATAATCCTCGACGTGAGAGCTGCCGGGTTCCCAGCCGACAGGTGAGGGCGGAGCTCGCCCACCTCTAAAGAGGCGGGGGAAGACTAGTCTGACGTGGTTGGCGGTGGCGGACACGTTGCCTTTGCGGTTCCGGACTTTTCACAGGGCACTTCTAAGCTTAGTCTGTGCCATATCTGCCCAAGTATTCGGCCTTTGGTTTCTGCCCCTTCGTTCCTCCTGTTCCCTTGAGTGTATCCCCAGAAACAGCTGGATGAATAGGGAGGGCCGGTCCTTCCAGGGCGGCACCCTCTTTGCTTTGCCTGCATTGGATGCGAAAAGGGGTTGCAGGATCCACGTCTTCCTCGACTAAGTCTCGGAGTGGGGGGCACCGTCAAGTTTTGTGTCCAGCTTTTGTTTTCTCTCCTCTCCCTGCATCCCTCCACTTCCTCTCTCCCGCAGGGAGAGGACGGGTGATAGTGATAGTCCCTCCGAGAGGTTCGTCGGGCAGTGGTGCAGGGAGGAGCCTTGCTTAGGAAATGTCCCAAGCCTGACTGTGCTTGTGGGGACGTCCAAGGAATGCTGGAGTTTGGGAAGGAAGTTGTGCTGTCGTCTTCTTGTCCGTTCCTCTTTGCCAAGTTACTACTGTTTACGTGTCTAGGAAAAGGAAAGAGGTTTTTTTGGTTTTTTAAACAGTTTCTGGAGGCTTTCCCCTTTCACTTTATTATTACTTCCTTTTGTTTTGTTCTTATCTCCCTCTTGAGCCCTTTGATCTCAAAAAGTTTGTATAGTTTACACTTCCTGCAAATCCTTTAGCCACCCCCACTTTTAGGATTTCTGTTCCCCTCCCTTAGTTTTCAACTAAAGTATATAACGTCTCTAATTCTTATTTGATAAGGAAAAATGGAAGGTTTGCAAGACTTTTCATAAACTTGTGCTTTCACCTGCAAGGATGTGTTCACGTTTGCCATTTAATTAAAACTTCGTCGGAATGGAAATGTGCACTGGAATTGGTAACCTTTAAATCAGCTCTGTGTTAAGGCTGCAGGAATTGGCCATTTCACTGCTGCTATCCCAGTGATTACAACGCACTATATGTTAGTACTGTTTTAATTCCACTTTTCTTCCATTTGTTCTGTGTTTGTTTCCGTTGCTCAAAATGACCAACATCCTTTCCCAACTACCGTCTGACACTCATCTGAAAAAACAGAAGATATTTCTAATCTTATTTTCTGGATTAAAATCTCTACCTCAGTTACTCTTTCAAATTAATAAATTATCTTAATCCTGGCTTATGTCTTGGGGTCCATTGTTTATGTGACCTGTGACTCATCCCCAGTCCTGAAATTAAATGCAAAGTTTTGTTTGAGTGCATTTGGGGTGAGGTGTGGGGCGAGCCCATTTTTTTAAATCAGATTCTCAAAGGAGATCTATAACCTCCAGGTAGTGTATGTATATATGTATATGAAGTGTATGTGTGTATATGTGTGTGTGTGTGTGTGTGTGTGTGTGTAGTGTATATATATATATATATGAGATATATAGCCTCCAGATATATAACTACATGTTAGTGTCTTATTGAAGTTAATGAAAACATTTTTTGTGGGGCTGTTATTTTTTCAAATTGTAAATAGCTTGTTTTGGGAGAGTAAAATGCAGAGATTCTAGCTTTATACTGAAATCTCTCTAACTACTTCTAGATGTCAGTGTTTCTAAATTCCTTCCTACACCTAGAGAAGGAAGTAAGACTGCCTACTTTACTTCCTGATTTGCGGTTTTGAGGTTGTTGTTTTTTTTAAGGGTAAGCTGTTTGTGGCCAATGCTTTGGAGATCCAATGGATTTATAAATTAATATGTTTATTATTTTAAAAATACATATTAAATATCATCAACCTGCTAGATACAATTTAGTGTAAAAAATTTAAATTCTGATGTACTTTGCTTTCATTTTCTTGTTTTTCACTTGAGGCATCTATTCTGGCCTTGGCTTTGCTAGAAAGGGCCAATAAAATGTTTCGCTAGTGTGGTCTATAAGCCTTCAGTATGTTGCTGCTTATCTTGAAATCCTTTTACCCTCCATTCTTTTTTTTTTTTTTTTTTAAAGATTTTTATTGGGGAATTGGGGGGATGGGAACAGCGCTGGGGAATTGGGGAAGGGGAACAGACAAAGTTGCTGTCCTTTTGTTCTTCAGTCTAGTTGTGGAGGACGTTGCTTCACTGGCCCAAGTTGGCACCATCATTGCGCTCTTCTCTGGCGAGGCAGATCAGTCGCCGGCTTCTGGACGGCCGCTCACTGCGGCTGCTGGCCGCTCACGCTGGCTGCTGGCTGCTGGCTGCTGGCTACTGGCTACATACGGTAGCCCATGGCAACCCACTGCCACAGGGAGTGCAGCCTACACCGTAGCCGGTGACTCATGGCAGCCCAGCTCCAGGTTGAGCTGTCATTCAGCATCTCAGCTGTGGAGGGCAGTGTCACTGGCCCTCACATGTGGGATCCCTCTGGCATCCCAAGCGAGTTCTTAACCATCGCGCCACTCGGCCGGCCCAACCCTCCATTCTATATTAGATATATTAAGGATTGTTTTCTCTTGTGAATAAGTTGTATCTTTCCAAACTTAATATACGTTTAGAGTGCATATTTGAACTTAACTGATTTGGTTGTGAAGTGTTTGTTGATCAAGATTGAAGTTCTAAATGTTTGACACCTGTTTCGTAGAATAGTAAAACTTGAAGAGATCTATATAGCTCATAATCCATATAGAGTAACCAGTTTCTTCTGCTCACAAAATAATTTCCCCTCTGTCTAGCACCCTCACTTGGAGGTGCAGAAAACATGCTTTATAAAGAGTAGATTATGCTAAATTAGTTTTCTTCTAATATAATGACAAAGTCAGAAGATAGATTCTATCTAACACCATAACAACAATTAACATTCAATTGTTTATTGTGTGCCAGGGATTATGATAAGTGCTTTACGCGATTATCTCATCTAATCCTCACAGCAACCTTATTTTTATAGAAATCCCCATTTTTATAGATGAAGAAACTAAATGATTTCTAATGAAGCTAAATGATTAACTGAAGCTAAATTAACCTGCTCAGAATTAGACTGGTAGAGCCAAGATTGAACCTAGGTTGTCTGACTCTAGTCTGGGAGCTCTTAGCTACTACTCTAGATTGCTTCTGCCCTATTTCCTTTTCTTCTTTTTTGGCATGAGTTCAGGGTATCTCACCTGTTTTTCTATCCGATGTTAAGAAAAGAAGATATTTTCCTTTATTAATCTTCAATGGATGAACACCTGCTTGAATGTCATACTGAAAAGCAGGACAAAAAGAAATAAATTTGGTGTGTTATTTGATGGACTTTCCCCATGGGGATGGATATAAATTGTGTGTGTGTGTGTGTGTGTGTGTGTGTGTGTGTGTGTGTGTTATTACATGAGTGAAAAATGTGAAAATAAAGGTTTGAAGTAATAAATAAACTCAGCATTGTGAGAGTCTGGAGGTATAAATACATTGCAGAATGATAAATTTGGGATGGAGCAAGGAATAAATTGAAAGTGAATTTAAGATAATATGGCTATAGATGAAAAACTAAAAATATTTGTACAGACTGGAAACAGTAGTTCCACATAATATGAAAGATGGTAAATTAGGGACCATGACAGTCTAAAAGTTAGATATGCACCAGCTTAGCTATATGATGTATGAAAAAAAAAACTATAAAACAAAAGAATGTGAAAATGATCTTGGTATCTTTGGTCTCTACAAGCTTTAGGCAGTCATGGAAGCCATTGAATAGCTCTTGCAGATTCTCAGCTATTCTCTACAAAACAGAAGTATGTATTTTCTTTTTCTCTTTCCTTTAGTCCTTTTTCTTCCTTCCATCTTTTATCCTCCATTACTCTCCCCCATTACTTCTAAACCTTTGTCTTTGGATGGTTATAGGCCAGTATTGCTGGAAACTGCTCAAATCTTTTGTGAAAATATGGCAATATCTTTGCCATATTATCACCAAAGAGTTTTTATTTTGTTTTCTTTTTGTATATCTATGATAGCATTGGGTTAGCAGCTCTTTGATGTTCAGGATTGATCCTCTTTGATCCTTTGGGTAACTGACACACTGTCTTTGGAGCAGAATCATAAGAACTGCAAATGGTGGCAAGGCCTAAATCATCCAGAGAAAGGAATGAGTTGGCCAACCTGTTTCTGCTAGCATGAGGTAGTGTTTTAGAGCAAGTTTTCCAAACTCTTCTATATGGTATCACACATAGAAAATGATTGTATTTGTATGACAGACTATAGCTAGGCCCTTCCTGGCTCCCTGAGGGTGGTGTTGGGGAGGGGGGTGTCTATATTTCAGCACACCTGTAATCTATTCTTGGCACACTGGTTGGAAAGCTTTGCCCTAGAAAAGAATATATTACTATCTGTTTAATACCTTGTGTTTATTTAGCATATAATAATTTACAGAGCACTTGCCTGTATATTCTCATTTTACTTTTACTCCAGTCATGTCAAGTAGGTAAAACCGATAACATTACCATGTTAGAAAGGAAGAAATTGAGATTTTACAGATAAAGTGTTTTGTATGAGGTCACACAGCTAATAAGGGATGGGTCAGGAATTCAAATCCCAGGTGGAAAGAGTCCTTGGGGGTTAAGCCAGTGGCATGTGACCACCATGATGTCCAGGACCATATCTGTTTTGTTTCAGAGTGCCACCTTCAGCATCTAGGGTAGCTTCAGGCATTTATTGAGTGCTATTCTGGCTAGGCATTATGCTTTATAAATGCTGTCTGTGTATTAGGAATTTCTATTTTCTATTAACAATGGAAGAATCAGGTATAGAAACCAGCAGGAATAATTAGTCCAAGGTAGTAAAAGGAGAACCACAAAACTCATAACCAAAGTTGCTTGACTCCAAAGCTTGTAGTCTTTTCACTATAGTGACTAAATGATATCAGGACATTGCAGGGTAGAGACTGGATTCCTATTCAAGTGTGTGACACTGGTAGCAAGAGGGTGATGTGGTAGTGCTGAAAGGGAGATAGGCAAGTGGACTATTAAGTGTTTATTTTTAGCAGTTTTGACGTAGAGTTCTAGAGATGATGGCTGTCTAGTAGGATTTCCAAGGTGTTTAGGATGGGCATAGGGTAGAAGAGAAATACGCTAAAAGTCAAAGAGAATAACTTGAGTCATTGGTGCTGTAGGTACTACTAACGAAAGGATTAAAAGTGTAAATCCTCTTTATATGGCTAATGTTAATTGTAGATTATTTCCTAAAGGTAGGTTTACAGATTATTTTTATTTTCCTCTTTCCATATCTCCTAATTTTTCTATATGACTTATTAATTACTTTTAAAAATAAAAATAGTTTTATTTATATAAGTAATATACTGGGGGGGTACCAAAAAAAATGTATACAAGTGGGCACTTTGGCCAGTGTTGCTGAAGTAGTAGTTCGCTGTAATCAGAAGTGTTTGGACACTGATGGTAACCACTTAGAGCACCTCTTGTAATTGCAGAAGTCAAATGTGACTTGTATTCATCTTTTGTTATCAGTATATATTGAGTATTACAATTTTAATATAGTATTTCTTTTGTAAAATGTGTATACTTTTTTTGGCACCCTCTATATGTTCATGAAATAAAAATTCAAATAATATAATAAGCAGATGGAATGAAAACTGCTTCTCTCATCCCTCTATCCCCCACACCCACTCCCAGTTAATTCACAAGTAGCTGTTAAGGATTATGTGAAATACATGAGGAAGCTCTAAACCCATGCTAATACCATAGCCACTAGCCACATGTGGGTATTTAAATTAGTTAAAAATAGGATTTGAAAAAACTCATTTCCTCAGTCACACCAGGCACATTTCAAGTGCTCAGTAGCCACATGTGGCTAGTGGCCACTTCATTGGACAGCGCGGGTACAGAACATTTCCAACAACATTGGCCCGCCCTTCTTAAACTTTAAAATACTATTACAATTAGTGAGATAGTTACTGTGAGATTGAACCAAGATTTTAAAAATCTCTGTGGTCTTCATAGAGCCTACCAGTTTTTGTTTTAGCTGATAAAATATTATAGCCATGTTCTCTTTCAACTTTTTGTTTTAACTAAATTCAGATGGTCAAAGTCGAATGTTTGGGGATTATAGTTAGCTGCTTTTCTAGGATAAAGATGATAGCTTTTCTAAGAGCATGAGTGTTTTCTATCCCCTTTGAACCCTAGAACTGTATACAACTATCTTGCTATCTAGTTGGCATCCTCTCTTGAATATATTAAAGGTATCTCAAACACAACTGTCTAAAACTAAACTAATTTCTCCCTTACTCCCCCCAAAACTCCCAAATGTTGATCCTCTTCCTTTGTTCCTTATTTTGGTGAATGACTTCATTACCTTTCCAGTTGTAAAATCCAGAAAACTAGGAGTGATCCTTAATAACTCCTCTTCCTGATACAGCCAGTGTCAAGTTCTATTAATTTTACTTTTTAAATATCTTTTGAATCTGTACTTCTTCCTATTTCTACTGCTACCGCTTTAGTTTGTTACCATCATCTTGCCCGAAATTTCTACAGCACCTTCTATTCTTGTCTACCCACTTCTACTGTCCATCCCTCTCTAATCCATTATCCATCCCAAAGGCACCGTGACTTATTTTGAAACACACATCTGATTGTCACTCTCCCCTTCTCCTCCCCAATCTTTTAATGGCTTGCCATTGCTTCTAGGGTAAAAATGAAACTCCTTAACAATGCTTAGCCCTCTAGCCTCATCCTTTTTTACCATGTTCTGCTGAACTCCCCACTTCAGCCAAGCTGGCCTCCTTTTAGTCCTTGCCATTACAACGCCTTTCCTTACACATGCTTTTCCCCCTGTCTGGACCACCCTTTCTTTACTTTTATTTCACTTGATGACTCCTAGCCATCCTTCACGCTTCAACTGAAGTTTTACTTCCTTAGGGAAAACTCCCAAAGTAGGTAGTAACATACATTTACCACAGTTGGAATTTATATTTATTTGTGTGATTTTATGATTGTCTTTCTCTTCCGTTACCTCCAGGTGCCATGAAGACAGGAACACAACACGTCTTTTTTGGTTCACTGCTGAGTCCCTAAGACCTAGCTGAGTGCCTGACACCTAAGTATTGATTGACATGCCAGGTTAATGTTATTAAAGATTTCAGTTCATGGGTTTTTGTAATATAGGACTTTAAATAATGATACTTATAAATATAGTAGTTAAGATAGTAGTAGTTAAACTGCCAGTTATACTGTTTTTTAAAGTAAATGAAAGCAAATTATTTTAATAATATAAATTTATATTATTATTAAAAACAATAATTATAAAATATGGCACAGTATTCTTAGATTATTTTATAATAAACTCATATTTTAGAACAGTTGTAGGTTTATAGAATTATTGCAGAGATAGTGTAGAGATTCCTGTACACCCCATGCCGAGTTTCCCGTTATTAACATATTACATTGGTATGGTACATTTGTCACAATTCATGAACCAGTATTCATACATTATTATTAACTAATGTGTTCAGATTATCTCTGTTTTCTCCTAATTTTCCTATTCCAGGATCCCAACCAGGATACCACATAACATTTAATTGTCATGTTACCTTAGTGTTTTGGGTTTTTTTAGATTTTTATTGGGGGAGGGGAACAGAGTTAGGGAATCGGGGAAGGGGAACAGACAAGTTGCTGTCCTTTTATTCTTCAGTCTAGTTGTGGAGGATGTTGCTTCACTGGCCCATGTTGGTATTATCATTGCGCTCTTCCCGAGTGAGGCAATCGGTCGCCTGCCAATAGATGGCCGCTCATGGTGGCTCATGGCAGCTCATGCCAGCTGCTGGCCACTCATGCTGTCTGCCAACCATTCACAGTAGCTCATGGCAGCCCACTCTAGCCCCGCTGCAGCCTACGCCATCACCGGCGACTCACGGCCCCCCAGCTCCAGGTTGAGCTGTTGTTCACCATCTTAGCTGTAGAGGGCGCAGCGTCACTGGCCCATGTGGGATCCGAACTGCGGCCATGCTGCTCAGAGCCGGTGCTCCCAAGCCAACTCTTAACCAACGCGCCACACGGCAGGCCCGTTACCTCTTAGTTTTGACAGTTTCTCAGATGCCTTGTTTTTGATGACAACTTGATAGTTTTAAGGATAATTGGTCAGGTGTTTTATAGACTGCCCCTCTGTTGGGATTTGTCTGTGGTTTTCTCATGATTAGACTGGGCAATGTGTTTTTGGGAAAAAGACCCCAGTGATAAAGTGCCATTCTCATCATATCAAGAGTAAACACTGTCAGTATGCTTTACCACTGTTGATATTAACCTTGATCACCTGGCTTGAGATAGTGTTTGTCAGGTTTGTCCATTGTAAAGTTACCTTTTTCCCCTCTTTTTGTATATTGTACTTTTTTAGAAAGTCACTATGGGAAGTGCACACTTAAGGAGTGGAGAGTTATGGTCCACCTCCTGAACGGTGGAGAATATTTTAAATTCTTCTGCAAGGGAGATTTGCCTCTTTTCCCCCCACTTATTAATTTATTCAATCACTTACATAAATCAGTATTGACTCATGGATATTTATTTTATACTTCAGTGCACCTTACTTATTTTGTTGCTCAAATTGTTCCAGCTTTGGCCAGTAAGGGCTCTTTCAGTTGGTTCCTATATTTCTTTGACATATCCCCATCATTGTGAGTTTTTGTTGTTGTTGTTTTTTTAAAGCACCTTTTTACTTTCTGGCACTATAAAGTGCTCCAGGCTCATCTTGTGTATTTCTTGCCCCAGTCCTAAAATCAGCCAATTCTCCAAGGAGTGCTGGTTCCCTGTATTGAAGAATGGTATTAGAAAACCAACATCTGGGCATTATATGTGCTTACTGTTGCTGGGGTTGCTTCTAGGAGGTATAAACTAACTCAGATATATACATATCTATAAATATTTCTGTATATAACTATCTCTATATTAAGCTGTATTCTTAGATTATGTACTCTATGCTTTTTGCCATTGAAAAATATTACCTGTGAATATTGAGGGGTTTATTTTGGATGGTTTGGGGAATTTAGTAACAGAATTAAAGTAACTCTCCAATTCTCTTGGTTCTTGGTTGGCTTCACTGCTAATGTTCTGGAATTTAGCTAGCCATCTATGAAGAATGAGGCCAGATCACACTGAATAATTTAGAGTTTATTTACAGCTAGTTTTCTTTCAGGGAGTAATTTAGTTTTGAGAGTCTTATCATTTTACTTCTCATTAGTTTCTCTGTAATACAATCTGAGTGGGGAAAATAAAAACACTTCTCCAAACAGTTAATTTAGTTACTTGGTTAAAAGTTGGTAATGATTGGTGGGGATGGGAATAGTTGAATATCTGTTAGGCTGATTTTTAAATTGTTTTCCACTACTACATATAATTGAGAATTAAGAATTATATGTATTTTGCTAAAGCTGTTTAATTTTGAATTATCTAGATCGATGTGTTTATCTTAATGAGCAACCTGAACTTAATTTATCATTATTTAAAAGGACTTATATATAGGTGTCTAGCAAAATAGCTTTTGCAGATACCAGATAGTTGTTGACATAAAGACAGCAGCATAATGTAAATGATTATCTTATTTCTTTTTATTTGGTTATTTTACTTATGAAAGGAAGTGTACTGTGAACATATTGTGTTGTAAACTATTTTCAGTTTAATATTTGCATTGGACAACAGGGAAAAGGAATTTTTTCCTATTTTAAGAAAACTACCATTATAAAGAAAAAAAATTGTTTTAAATTGTTTTGACTAAAACAGAAAGCTTCTGTATTGCAGATATTTTCAGTTCTAAACATGTATAGTTACTTAATGTAGTCACTGTGTGTTTTAACTCTAGATTTTTTATTGTAAATTAGTCAGTTCTACTTGAAAATTAATATTGAATTATGAAATTAAAACAATTGTGAAATTAAAACAGGTCACTCTTTACATTTATTTATGAGTGAGAAAAGGTAGACATTCTAATAGATTTCTGAGAATGAAAGAAATAGATCCACTTTATTTCATCTTTAGCCTGGTAAACCATTCTCTGCAATATCAGTGATACAACAGTCGAAAGAAACTAAGCAAGTTCAGATCAAAGCAAGCCCAAGTTTTGTTACCTTTGCCCTAAGTTTTCTGCATTTACCGCCTTAGCATTGTCCTTGACAGTCAGAATTCCCTGGTCGTCCCATATATTGTATTTATAGCACTTCTCCAACTTTTTTATTGAAGTACCCAAGAAAGAATAACTTGTCAGATATTTCTTTGGAGACTCATATTTTATCATAAAAATTCAAGATATTTCTTAAAAGACATATGTGTGTTGTTTTATTTAAGTGAATTTTGCCTTAGATTCCATAATATCATACTTATTTTAACAAAAAGAGTGTAAATTGTCATTCTAGTATGATGTACTGTGTTTTTTGTTTTTTGGTTTTTTTTTTTAAGATTTTTATTGAGGAATTGGGGGGATGGGAACAGTGCTGGGGAATTGGGGGAAGGGGAACAGACAAGCTGCTGTTGTTTTGTTCTTCAGTCTAGTTGTGGAGGACGTTGCTTCACTGGCCCAAGTTGGCACCATCATTGCGCTCTTCTCTGGCGAGGCAGATCAGTCGCCGGCTTCTGGACGGCCGCTCACTGCAGCTGCTGGCCGTTCACGCTGGCTGCTGGCCACACACGGTAGCCCATGGCAATCCACTGCCACAGGGGCTGCAGCCTACGCCGTCACCAGCGACTCACGGCAGCCCAGCTCCAGGTTGAGCTGATGTTCAGCATCTTAGCTGTAGAGGGCAGTGTCACTGGCCCTCATATGTGGGATCCGAACCGGGGCCCTCTGGCATCCCAAGCGAGTTCTTAACCATCGCGCCACTCGGCCGGCCCTGTTTTGGTTTTTTTTAGCTGAGCCATCCTGCCACCTGTTGGCAGCTCAGTGGCTGCTCAGCTCAGGCCGGGACTCAAGCCGCTGTTTCTCAGAGCTCAAACTCTTGAGCGAGCTCTTAACCAACTGAGCCACTCAGCTCGCCCTGATGAACTGTGTTTATTGTAATTATGTCTGCCTTGTTTATATCTGCCTTCAGGTGCCTTGAGCGTATATACCACTTCAGACCTCCTGTGCTATGTGAATCCCCTAATTTGAAAAACTCATGTTATAATTTCCGTTGAACAACACTCATCCCTACGTAGATCTTTAATACCCTGTTTTCCTGAAAGTAAGACCTAGCTGGAAAATAAGCCCTTGCATGATTTTAGGTGCCAAAATGTGGCTCTTTGGCATACTGAATAGTTTAAGCTGAAGGAATTTATGGAAAAGTCACCCTTCTCCCTGAAACAGGTCATAAAACCCTCATGTGAGGCGTGCGTGCCCTCCATATCCTAGAGGAATCATGCAAGGGCTTCTTCTCTGGCTAGGTCTTATTTTCAGGGAAACACAGTATTAAACTTATGAATCTTTAACTCAGTGGACCATGGAGACTGTAATTGCAGTTTTTTGTATTCTGGCATCCATGGAATCTTGTTTTCTCTACTCCCCCCTCCCATCCTGGCAAATCTGGTCCTTCCTGCCCTCTCTTTCCTGAGTCCTAGGAAGACCCTAAATGCATTTAAGAGTTGTAGGGTCTAGAATACTCTCTCACTGAATTCTGATTAAAGTCCTTATGTAGTTTCGCTTTGGCTAGATCTAGTCTGTTCAGTCTGTAGAAATCAGAATGTGATTTTGATCATAAAATCAAAACAACCCCAAACAGTTGGATGAATTATAAACTTCAGGTGATGTTATTTAGGCATTATTTTTTTACAAATGCTAATTAGTAATTTACTTTATAGGTCATTGGTTTTTACACTCATTAGTTAATGAATACCTCTGGCTAATTTACAGAAGTAGAGCCCCAGAGATGACTTAAGGCTTTGTGGGCCTCCAGTGTAAACCCAACTATGAGGCCTGAACATTAATGATAGTTTTGTAATAGTAATTTATCATTCTATTTTGAAGACAATTAAAAAAAATAACTGAATTTATGTAAAGATCAGGAAACATTTTATTTTTTATTTTTTTATTTTTTGTTTAGCTGAGCCATCCTGCCACCTGTTGGCAGCTCAGCAGCAGCTCAGCTCGGGCAGGACTCAAACTG